GGCCTTTACTCATCTCACTCTGTCAAAAAGAACTGTCATTCCTGTTTCCTTCATTCATTGTGCGTGCTAACTAAAAAAGAAGTTATTCTAAATCATCGGACACTGCATTTGTATTTATCATATTTTCTCGAAAAATATAATAGGTTATGCTTCCAGACAACGCTTGCACTTCAAACTTAAGCACGTGTGTATAAAAATTCGTATTGAACCGGCGACGATGCTGTAAAAGTTGCGCTTTTGGGGATAAAAGATGGTGAGAAGATTCGAAAATATCTGAACGATTTCTTCGAAGCCTTTGTGAAATTAATTCAACATTTGTTACATGTGTATTAGGGCAAAAGCAGAATAGACATAGTGATGAGAACTCTCTACACATAAATAGACAAAATTCCAATTGGGAAAAACAAAACAATGAAAATCGACTCAAAAGCCAAAACGCAAATAAAAAGAAACAGAAAGAGGATTCTAAATAAAATAAACAGTGTGTTGACGAATCAACAAAAAACTAAGAATTAGGTCATGAGTTAATCGGTCGCACCTGTTGCTTAATTTTTTTTTTGACGAATCAACAAAAAATTAAGAATTAGGTCATAAGTTAAGCACTCGCATCGGTTGCTTAATAAGCAATTTGCGCAAATTAAATAATAAATTAAATTAAGTAATTATTGTACATCTTGCAATTATTGTTGCATTTTAATTTGTATAAAAGGCGAATTAATTTTAAACAAAATCAGTTATTGACTTACAATCACCAATCATTTATTGTTTCTCCCCACTAGTGGTAAGGAACATATAGATTGTACAGAACATCATTGTTCATTTTGGTCCTTCGAGCAGGATATTTGAAATTTCACCCACCAGTGGTAAGAGTTTCAAATATAGCAAACTAAGAAACTTAAGTCTGAGATTGAATCAAGTATAAGCGTACCGAGACTTTTAACATCGGAATGAAGTAAATACAAGCGTACCGAGGTTTTTAACATCGGAATGACGTAAATACTAGCGTACCATCGGAGTGAAACAATCAGAAGCGTACCGAGGCTTTCAACAAACGCTAATTAAATTAAATACAAACAGAGGACATCATGGAGAACGAAGAGATAGACATAGTTATCCAACATAAAAAGAAAATTGAAGGTGAGATCCAAAGGATCTGGATAAATTTTAAAAAGGATTCTACCACAAGATACTCAAGGCAGTATTTTAAGACGCGTTTGGAAAATTTGCATCAGAAATGGGACGCATTTGAAGACAATAATGATAATCTGATCAAAAATTTGAAGCCAGATCATGAATATATCACAAAAAATTACTTTGACCAGTTACAACAAAGACGGAATGAAATCGAGAATCGCTTTAATAATGAATTGAAAATACTAAGGCAAAGAGAGCAAGAGGAGCCCGGTCATCAAGGCATAAGTATCAATGACGAAGTCACCATCACTGAGCCATGTGATATTACGAACAAACGTTTAGCAATCTTAAGTACAAGTCTGTTGTATATCAAAGAGACAATAGACTTAACGAAAAGTATTAAAATGCTACAGTTTAAGTTTGAAAAACTAAAGAATTGTTGGGCAAAGATTTCACAATTACACCATGAATGCCTGCTGAGCAATGATGCTATAGACCATAAAGATTTCATTCAACTGGAATCGATATACGAAGGAGTATATATTCAGTTACAAGAAAAACTGAACGTTCGCAGTCAAAATGTTTCAGACACAAGAACACCTGTAAGTAACAATATCAAACTACCACCGTGGAATGTACCAATATTCAACGGCAGATATGAAGAATTGTGTCCATTTTGGGAATTGTTCGACCGGTTAGTTCAACAAAACCATAATCTAGTGGATGTAGACAGAATGCAATACTTAAAAGGAAGTCCGCGGGAAGAAGCCGCGAGGCTTATCAATCATTTAACAATAACAGCGAACAATTATACAGCGGCAGTTGAACTACTGAAACAAAGGTACAACAATCCAGCAATACTTGTGGACAATCTTATTAATAAGTTATTGTCGCTCAGAGTAATAAGAAACGAAAATGCACAGGATTTAAAAACATTAATGCATGCTTCTAGAGAAGTGTTATATGGTATACGTAATTTAAATGTGGACATGTCAAGTTGGGATCCACTAATAATACAGATACTACTTCCAAAATTAGATGGTGAAACCAGGAAATTATACCAACATTCAAGAGAAGCATCAACACAAATACCAAAATTGAGCAGCTTATACGAGTTTATTGAGAGCAGAGTTATAGAATTGGAGGCAACTCGTGACACAAATCGCGAAAATAAGAATAATTTTCGACCAACAGCTGTAAATACAAAAACGCATGTAACTACAATACATACGCTAAGTTTGATGTGTAATGGTAATCATCAATTAATTCGATGTTCAAAGTTTCTGAATATGAAGATGCTGGAACGTCGTGAAAAGATTATGAGCGCCAAATTATGTTTTAATTGCCTTCAGAGTGAGCATTTTAGTAAGTTATGCTTGAATAAGAAAAGATGTACAAAAAGATGCGTCAAAAAACACCATCATCTTATCCATGAACAAGTTAAAGGCAAATCAACATTCACAAATAACAAAAATAAACAGAGGATGTTAACACTGAAGAACACTACAGAGACCGAAGTGAGAGCGTCGTACAACATCCAAAAGGAAAAAACTGTTTTACTAGCAACAGTAATGGTAATTATAAGGACTAAGAAACAACTTAATCCGACACGAGCGTTTCTTGATCAAGGATCACAATCTTGTATAATAACAGAACAATTATCAAGATCAATCAGAGCACATTTGACCACTTATCAAACTCATGTAAAAAGTATCAATGGGCAAACAACAAGCGTTATAGCCAAATGCTCATTAGAAATTCAATCTATGCATGATAAGAATAAGAGCTGTCATATCAAATTAATAGTGTTACCAAAAGTCACATCAAAAACGCCGAATGCAGAATTCACGCCAGGAAAATGTTCACATATCGACGGATTGCAGTTAGCAGATCCTTGGTATGCTGAACCAAAGGAAATACAATTGTTAATCGGGTCGGACGTGTCACCAAAAGTGTTTAAAGAAGGATTAATTAAAGGGCCAGACAACTCTCCACTGGCTCAAAACACACTATTTGGATGGATATTATCAGGACCTTTAGATGTAGAGCGTACAATCACAAACAAAATAACGTTATGTACCATGGCTTGCGGCAACAGCGACAAGTATTTAAAACGGTTTTTGGAATTAGAGGAAATTCCAAATGCAGATTTAAGAATAGTAGAAGAAAGGCGTTATGAGAAACATTATGATTCAACTTGCACCCGCAATAAAACAGGACCATACATCGTTAGGTTGCCGCTAAAAAATGATCGAGAAACGTTAGATGAGTCCAGAAAGATGGCATTGAAATGGTTCTTTTCACTGGAAAAACGACTTGAGAAGAACTCAGCACTTAAGCAAGAGTATGTGAACTTTATGCAATAGTACATTAAGCTGGGTCACATGAAAGAAGTTAATGAGAAACCAAAAACAAATGTATATTATTTGCCGCATCATGCAGTTATTAAAGAAGACAGCACGAGAACAAAACTTCGAGTTGTGTTTGACGCGTCCGCAAAAACGACATCAGAATAATCACTGAACAGTAGACGAAATACTTTGGCAAGTGATTTTATTTAATCAAAAATATATTAATTTTTATAAATTTATTTATATGTATATATAAATTAATTTTTAATTAACCTATACTCTAGACTATACTAGGTTAAATCAATAAATATCTATATTAATATAAATATTTAATTAATTAATAGATATATCACTTTGGCAAATGAAACCTTAAAAATTTTATGTAGACGATTGTTTATTAGGCGCTAATACTATTCAAGAATGTAAACAAATAAAAGAAGAATTAATCCAACTATTGCGGAAGGGAGGTTTTAGTTTAAGAAAATGGGCATCAAACGAACCGGAAATGTTGACGAATATCCAGATAAAAGACATTGAACCAGGGTTAGAGATGCAATTTAACAACGACCAAGCAATTAAAATTTTAGGAATAAAATGGTGTCCTAAATTGGATCAATTTGAATTTTAAATAAATACCACGTCATTCAGCTCAAAATACACTAAAAGAGCAATTCTAAGTGATGCTGGAAAACTATTTGATCCATTTGGTTGGCTGTCACCTGTAACCATTAAACAAAAATCATGATACAAAAATTGTGGATGTTAGAAATTAGTTGAGATAGATTAGTTGAGGATAATTCAGCAGATATTCCATCACGGGGACTATATGGTGACAATCTTATTTCAAATACATTATGGTGGCATGGTCCAAATTGGCTAATAAAAGATGAAGGAAATTGGCCAGAAAATGATGAAGTCATAGATTTGAATCTTATTCCAGAAACCAGAAAAACTGCAATATTTACCGTCGTGAACGTTACCTACGATAAAGAATTTATTAATCGATTTTCCTCATTAAACAAACTTCTTCGAGTGACAGCTTATTGTCTTAGATTCGTTTATAATTGTCAAAGAAAAAAATCCGAAAAAAAGATCGACAACCTGACGGCAGACGATATCGATGCAGCGAAAATTGTGTTGGTGAAGTAGGCGCAAAAATGTTTTACAGATGACATCAGGAAACACAATCTTCAGAAACAATTAATGAAAAGTAATAAGTTGTGTTCATTTAACCCATTTGTTAACGGTGCAGGAGTGCTAAGAGTGGGCAGCAGATTAAGAAATTCGGATTTATCTGACAACCAAAAGTATCCAATAATTTTGCATACAACAAGTACTTTGGCCAAACTCATAATCAATCAGGCGCATATTGATACGATTCATGGAGGATTGAAATTGACGCTAAACTACGTCCGGGAAAAGTTTTGGATTATTCGTGGAACAATCACTGTGAAAGTTTGAATCAATAAATGTGTAAAGTGTTTCCGGATAAAGGCAAAAGGACAATCTCAATTAATGGCAAGTTTACCAACACCAAGAGTAAATTTCTCAAGGCCATTTACACACAGCGGCATAGACTATACAGGACCATTGCACATTAAATGCTCTCAATTTAAGGGATATAAAACGCATAAGGCGTTTATAGCTATTTTTGTATGCCTAGCAACAAAGGCAATTCACATTGAGTTAACTTCAGATCTGACATCTCAAGGATTTTTAGCAGCACTCAAACGAATGATAAGCAGACGTGGCGCAGTACGTCATATTTATAGCGACAATGGTACTAATTTTACAGGTGCAAACAACATTTTACAAAAGATTCAAATAGAGAATCATCTAGCCGAAACAGGTATACGTTGGCATTTCATCCCTTCTGGCTCACCTCACTTTGGTGGTCTCTGGGAATCAGGAATAAAATCCATTAAATATCATCTAGCTGGAATTTTAGGTGACCAAAAATTGACATACGAGGAATTAAGTACGGTTTTAACTCAAATCAAATGTTGTCTTAACTCACGACCACTCTGTCTATTAACAGACAACATTGAAGACCTTCATGCGCTTACACCAGGACATTTCATTGTGATGACTCCGGCATTGATAGTATTATTAACTTTGCAGAAACCAGACTAAAAAGATGAAAGATTGTGCAGAAAATAAAGCAAAACTTTTGTGAACGGCGGTCCCAAAACTATATATAAAATACTCAACAACATAGATACAAATGTATAAAATCAATACCAAACTTAGAAATTGATCAACTAGTCCTATTGAAATACGAAACATCAATATCATCAACGTGGTCTCTAGGCAGAGTCATAGAAGTTCATAAAGGAACAGATGGTTTAACCCGAGTTGCCTACGATCAAAAAAATATGTCCTCTGCCAATCACTGATAATGTCAATGAAGATCATATTCCGTCAAATCAAGAGAAGTTCCCGAATTCAGTTAAAGAATGTAAAGGGTTTGAAGTAACATCAACCAGAGTAGAATTAGACACTCAAAATATGTTGCCATTGGGAAACATTGTCGGAAATAAAGAAGTAGTTCCGAGAAATTCTACTGTAGGAGATCCTAGAATGCGACGACAATGGTTTTCGGCTAGGTAATCTAAATCGACAGTTCTTGCTATATTTTTGGCATATCGCACATCAGGAACTACATTAGCAACACCCACAGCAACATGTCCTGAATCAGGATTATTCATTGAAGGATTAGGCAAAGCAGAAATACAAAGAGAAACACCTAGAACCACTATCACATTTCCAATCTGTGATATAATTTATATTATTATGTAACATATTAGGTACAGTGTTAACAATACTTTTTGGCGTAAACGATGAAGTGTATCACGACATTGAAACGTTGGATCAAAATCAGAAATTATTAATCCAAAATACTAAATCAAATGCTGGAGTCATGATATCCACAATAGCGACAGTAAACAACACAGAAACTAAAATCGTCAACAAAATCAACAGCTTTAGTAAAAGACTAAACGAAGGATTGCAGGGTATCAGTGAGATGCAAGGTTGGCATGATATCGGAAAAGGAAATAAACTGAATATATACATTAAGACTGAAAAGTTTTCGGAAATTCTCATTTAAAATTCGCGCGCTGTATATTTTTCGATATTTTAAGTTTATGTAGTTTGGCAGCACTGTCCTTAATTACTATGCCAAAAATGAGCTCGATCTGTCAGACAGTTCGTTTACGGCAGCTGTTGAAACCAGTTCACCTCAGTAGTGCGTTGCGAAATGTCTTCGACGGTCGTACGACCGTCCTGGAAGGCTTTGTACCACTCATAAACTTGAGTTTTCGATAAAACTGATTCCCCATAAGCCTTTTGTAGCATTCGCAACGATTCTGCACACGAAATTTCGTTCGAAACACAAAATTTGATGCAAACTCTTTGTTCAATATTTTTTTCCATTGTTTTTTTCGCAACGCACTACTGAGGTGAACTGGTTTCAACAGCTGCCGTAAACGAACTGTCTGACAGATCGCGCTCATTTTTGGCATAGTAATTGTGGTTAGTTGCTGCCAAACTACATAAACTTAAAATATCGAAAAATATACAGCGCGCGAATTTTAAATGAGAATTTCCGAAAACTTTTCGGTCTTAATGTATGTACTTAATTCATATATAATGGCATCCAATTACATTCGAGAAGTAGAATCAAAATACAACAAAATCTTCAATGTATATTTGAAATGCAGTCATATTTATGAATTCCTTTCACATGATGAAATCAGTGACATTATAACTCGATGTTCCGCAAAAATTGGACCAGAAATGTATGTCTTGCCAATCCCGATGAACAGATTGAAATATGTTCGAGATACTGACAACATTATAATTTATGGTTATTTTACAATTAGCGATATAGAAAAATATAAATTCATTAGATTCAACACGATTCCAGAAATAATTGATGATAATATTGTAACATAAAATTTACACTCGTAAATTTTACAACACAATAATGTAATAATACAAAACAAAATATATATAATAATAAAATAAAAAACATCAAAAACAATAATAAAACTTGTAAACAACGCACCGTTGCAATTACAAAAACAAATCTACTGTTTGCTTCGCATCTCGCGTATATAAAAGGCGAAGCAAAAGCGCAACGCAGGGATTCAGCAAGACATCGAGCTAAGAACAGGTCGCTCCATATTACACGTGCTGAAACACCAAGAATCGAAATTTACATCTCGATTTCTATTTTGTTTTAATTTTTTTTATTTTTAATAGAAATACACATTTCTATTAAAAATTATTATTAATAACGAAATTAACATTTCGTTAGTAATAGAAATATAAATTTCTATTACTCGTTTGCTCATAACGAAATCATATTTTCGTTAATAAATTACTCGGTAAGGTGATAATAACTCATGAATATTATCACCCATACCAAATCCATTGTATAGAGAAGAAATTCACATTTCTTCAAACATTTTGTCAGGGGCGTTGAAATTAACATTTATATGCCAAATCCATTGTATAGAGAAGAAATTCACATTTCTTCAAACATTTTGTCAGGGGCGTTGAAATTAACATTTATACGCCAAACCAACTAACTTCACCGAGGAAGGTAACCACATCATCGCACCAACGTCACCGTCCACCGTGTATTCACACTTTCCACTGTTCCTAAAAAATAAATTTATTGTAGGACTGGACCTGGAATCCGGCGAGCAACACCTCGGCCAAAAAGGTTCGTTACAATATATATCAAGAAATCGAATTGTCAACATCCACATTTGGCATCAATTATAGCAAGAAAAATTATTTTGACGTAACTATTAGCCAAATAGAGACGGCTACCAAGATGAATAATGTTACTAGGTTACTTCACCCAACAATATTTCGCAACATTGACGAGAGTTCCAATTATGTAATTAAGCAATTGTATAACAAATTATCATTCGATAACTGTCCGTAAATAGGATTTCAAGTTTTACAACAAGTTTGGAAAGAACTTTGGACGCCCAATGCTTGGATATTCATTACACCAAATTTAACGGCAATTCATGTGATTTGTCATATTGAACGTGAATAAGTAATTTTCAAATATACAAGAATCAGCCACATCTCTTCAGATTGTATAATATATTCTAAGACTATTCAACTTGAAAAAAGAATGATGAAAGAATTCCAATCAATCACACACCACGTTAAACCAATCAGAATGCAAAACATCAGGATGCCTGACAGGAAAAAGTACCATATAAAATTACAAATGAAACCGTTATCCCATTGATGCAAGACTTATCAACTATGTTTTTGTACTCCGCAAGGGATGATCAGGACAATATGGACCAAGTCAATGAAATATCTTGGAAAACAATAATAACTCATCAATATTGAATAAAATGGGTTATCTGGGCCACAGCTATAATAATAATCATATTCGTTGGAGTACTATATTATATATGTTACATTAAACCACAAATACCATCAACACCAGCCAATAATCGTAGATCAACATCCACTTATGATGTTGCTGGGTCTTGTACATAATCAACAACCTGCTGAGGTTACCAAATCTAAACCAGCTCGTAATACCAACTCAGAGCCGGCATAATATTGAGGAATCAACAAAAAATTAAGAATTAGGTCATAAGTAAATCGCTCGCACCTGTTGCTTAATTTTTTGGTTGAAAAATCAACAAAAAATTAAGAATTAGGTCATAAGTTAAGCGCTCGCATCGGTTGCTTAATAAGCAATTTGTGCAAATTAAATAATAAATTAATTTAAGTAATTATTGTACATCTTGCAATTATTGTTGCATTTTAATTTGTATAAAAGACGAAATAATCAGTTATTGACTTACAATCAATGTCTCACCAATCATATATTGTTTCCCTCCACCAGTGGTAAGGAACATATAGATTGTACTGAACATCATTGTTCAATTATATATATCAATAATAAAGTATTCATATAATTAATTTTACAAAATCTTCTGTTCTTTTTCTTTACAATAAATTGATATATGTATAAAATATTACAACAATTTTTATTTATTTTTCTAGCGTACAAATTAAAACTTAAAGTAAAACAATATTAATAACAAAATTATTTTTTTTTTTAACAACAAAAAAAAAAATGAAAAGGAAAAAAAAATAAACAAAACATAGCAAATTTTTGAGTTGTAATTATTTAAAGATATCAAAAAAAAATCCATAAATATAATCAAGGTATATTCTCCTTTGTTTAAATAAACAACTAAAAATTAAATTAAATGTTATTGCAATATTTAACTTTTGGTATCTTCATTATTTTACTTTCTTTCTTACTAAGTTAACAAAAAAATTCAATAATATCAAACAAAAAAAAAAAGAATAAAAAAAAACAGACTGACGTGCGGCGAAGACTTTAGTGAGACGTTTGCCTACCATACAACTAAAAAACAAAGTTCGCGCAGAAATTATATGTTTAATTATTATGAATATAGCAAAAATAACACAACATCAAAAAGAAAAAAAAATTATTTTATCAATAAAAAACAATTGCATTGGAACTAAATACAGGTAAAAAGAAAATAATAATCAAAATAAAACAGTTCAATGTACTTACTCTTTTTTCTTTTATTAAGGCGTTATTTTATTTCTTCTAGCTGCTTGAATATAGCAAAAAAATTATAATCAAAGAATTGATTGATTGAATGAAACATGAAACAGGACTTCGTAAAAAAAACCGTACTGAATACGTAATAACATATCACTGTAAAAAGTACCTGCTATTATACTTTTTTCCTTTGGTGCTTCTTCAGGTGAACGAATTGCTGATTTTTTTTTCTAGCCCCTTTAGCTTTGTTGGTATTCCTCATATACAGATTTCCAATTCAGTTGAGTCTTCAAACAAAAATGCAATGGATTCTGTATCTCCAACTTCTAACTCAGCGACCACCGTCGTCAGCTCACTTTCTCCAAAAAAACACAATGGATAATGGCAATAACTCTTCTTGTACTAGGTTTTTTTTTGTTTCACTTTCTGTTCTTAATATCACCTGGTGCTTCACTAATTTCTGTACTGTTTCATGTGCACCTTTTTTTTCTTTAAATTTAAAACAATCTTCGATTTATTTTTATTTCTATGCAGATACTCGCAC